CGAAGGGATTTATCCATGTTTGCAGTCGCCTGTTCAAGTTCATTTATACACAATGCTTCAGACTGTGCTGAAGGACTGTGGAAGTTGTTTCGTAAATGTTGTTGTAGTTAGTGGGGCAATGGAACGTCTGATTCTGTACTTTGGAGCTGTGGTCAATGGGAGGCTATACTGGATTTCAAACGTTAACAAGTAATGATCTGAGAGCAGAGGACTCTGAGGCATAATAGATACATGTTCCACCAAGATGCCATGACTAATATCAAGGGTATGGTTACAGGCAATTACGTTTGAAGCGTGCGGCTAGGATGGAGATAATTTATGCCATCTACTGTTGTATGTGTGTAATAACATTTAAATTCTAGTCTTTGAATATAAGATGACCCCTGTTTATTAGTTGTGATTTTTCAGGGCCAATATGTTATATAAAAGTATAGTATTCTAAGATTTCATTATAATTCGTTGTATTGCCAGAGTTGGTATTTTCGTGCCAAAAAATACTTACTCCGATTTTTTTCTTCATATTTTTGCAATGTTATTTATTTATTTATTTATTAATTTGTTTGGGTGGAGAGTCCCTTTAAACTTATTTAAGCAGAACCTCCCCCAACAATCTGTATCAATTTCAAAAAAACCATTGGCCAAAAATTTCCTTAACAGTGCATCACTAATGTAAATGCTAAAGACTTGAGAAATTTAATTGTGACTGAATGAGCAGCAATATTTATAATTTTGAGAACATGGAATTTTTAAATTAGAATTCTTTCCATTCATTGATGTCTCTCTCAGGGTGAGCATTTTGGGACCACAGAGGCTACTGAAGCCTTCTTCGCGATGACCCGGCTTTTCCAATCCAATGACGTAAGCACTTTTGTTTTCTGCATCATTGTCATTCTTTGTGTCACTCTATATTGTATGAAATTATTACTGACAGTTAATTGTGATGTAGAGATTAAAGCTGCATAGTTCATAATTAAAGGGGTATGTCTGCATAACACCATAATGCCTTTTTCTCCCATTGTTATCACTAACTGCCGTTGAAGTACATCTGTAATCTAAAGACAGACGAGTGTGCTTGGTCTTAGGAGAGATGCATTGCAAGCAGGGTCTCATGGTCTGGACCTTTGCAGTTACAGGACTACTCAAACTCTTTATCAAAAGTAAATACCTCTATTGCGAGCCACAGCTGCTCCTTGTTGACTAGTTATTGTTTTTTGTAGTCCTACACATGAATACAATGTGAGGGTGTGCTGGTTACAGTTTACAAGTTAATGGTATATTCACTGGCTTAACCACTCAATGTGAAGAATACTTTTTCCATATCATTAAGTTAGTTGTTTATTAAAATTCAGTTGTCTCTGAGGGTGATTATTTTGTCTGATTTTATTATAAGTTTCGGGGTGCAAATTCCTTTTCCTCTCTACCTCCCTCACCCTTTAAGCACAGGAGATGCTTGACTAGGATTGAATGATACTCGGTTGTCAAACTCAGTGGTATGTCTTTTTATAATCTCACGATAGGCAATACAGTGGTACCTCGGTTCTCGAACTCACTAGAACTAGTATTTCTTGAAAGTCAAACAAACCAGTTTGACCTAGAACTTGATCTGAATATCAGAAGTCGAACTGTGAATGCTGACCTATTATTAATTGTACGCGCCAGGAAATTAGTCATACTACAATGCAATTCTTACTTGAATGCCTTCTTCACAGACTGGACGATTAACTAAATAAAGCAGCGCAACATTACAGTAACTAACAATAAATAAACCACTAACTTACGTGTACTATTAGAGCATTTATGTCATTTGTTTAAACTTTATTTTACCAGGTAAATTAACTGAAAACCAGTTCTCGCTGCTTTACGTGATATTCGGGAGAAATAGCAGATTACGCATCGGAACTGCCTGGGATACAAACGTCATGCGTGTAACTAAACTCTTCAGCCAATAAGGGCAAAGGTGTGTCGTCACGGAGGCGGTTCCAGCCGGGTGAGAGGTCGCAATGCATCTGACCATAATGCATTGCGTCAGGATCAGGATGTGTTGCTTTAAGCCAGCGCTGTAAGCAAGTCAAACGCACCCAATGACCGGACTAGGGAAACAAACTGTAACGCGGACTTAATACAGAGGACTAATGACAACAACCAGAAACAGCTGGTAACATGGGGATCCCACACGAGGTTAAGGAGGGGGCATGGCACACGGAAGGAGCGGACGATCAGGGCAGGGCAGGGGTAATGTTGGGGTAAGATTTTTATCGTTTTGGAAGTCATTAAGAAAAAAATGCTGCTCTTGTTTTATCCTGTTCATTTTGTGTTTAAATGCTTTAAAACAAAAAAAAAACATATTTTGGTGTAATTTTGGGGGGCCGGGAACCAATTAATTGGTTTTCCATTATTTCTTATGGGAAAAATTTGATCAGAACTCAAACTTTTTAGGATTTGGTCCGGAGTCCGGAACGGATTAAATTCGAGAAACGGGGTACCACTGTATTATCATTTACATTAGTAAGAGAAAAAAAAGCATCACTTAAAATTCATTATTTGGCCACAAGGTGGCTTTTAGCTCCTGTCACTCCTAGCTGCAAGTGAAACTACAATTAGCAAGAGCTGTTAACAAGCAACTAAACCAATGCCATGTATCTTTTTTTGGTGTTGTTAATAATAATAATAGAGGTTTAGTAATTAAGTGTGGTTATTCAGTTAAAAACGTGAAAATACTGAGGACTTAACAAAAAGCAGTCTCCTTTCGTTATGGCTGCTTCCAGTTCTGTACACATTTTATTGTAGTAAATTGATATGGCAGTTTTCGCAAAGTACTTGTGGTTTGGGACCTCATACTGACAGTCAAACGTGTCGAGCATGTCTTTGAATCGATTGTACAAGTTTAAACACACCATTTTCTTTGATGCTTATCTTGTGATTGCATTTGTGTGGCCCTACATGAGCGATCCACGTCCGATACTTACTTATTTAGTTTTTGGCAGTCTCTAAAAAGATCTTCTCCTTTTTCGTGTTCAATCTATTAGTACGATCAATCGCACAACAGCTTTTTCCCATTTTTGATGTGTCTCAAAAATGCTTAAACAAGGTGGAACAGTACGTTAAGTGTTTCTAGTGGCCTAATTAAAGATTTTTTGGCATACATTTTTTCATCTGTTTACTAGTTTAAAAATATTAATGTATAATATACATTTATACTTTATATATTTATTATATTAAATTGAAAAGAGCTCTTGAATCGTAATCTGGCACTTGTGTATCGGGATTGGATCGGAACTGAGAAAATGTGGATTGGCCCATCCCTAACTGATACTTCTGCTTTTTATCTTGGAATATGCTGTTTTGTTCTGGGGTAAGTTTTCCAGTACATGTCAAGGTTTTTAAATTTGTATCTGTCGCTGCAGCAAACACTGCGTCGGATGTGCTACCTGACCATAAAGGAGATGGCCAACATTTCTGAGGATGTTATCATTGTCACTAGCAGGTACTGATTAGTCTCTTATGATTCCACCATTGCATCTCGTGGGGTTTGAACTTTGTGATCAGAATGTTCCAGGTTGAAAACCAAGAGATTTTCTTATGTGTTGGATGTCATCTCTCAAAAAGTCAAGTCAAGTATTTCCTCTTTAACTAATAAATAATTGTGATAGGCTCTCATAACCGCCTTCTGTTCCTTATCAGTCTGACCAAGGACATGACTGGAAAGGAGGACGTGTACAGAGGTCCGGCCATCAGGGCTCTCTGCCGGATCACAGATGTGAGATGTTCCCCTCTCTTATAAAGTTATTTCTTGTTGTTGTTCTGTTAATATGGCTGCCATATATTTGCTGTTTACACTATTGACTTGACTTAGGATATCTGTTGCTTAGTCTAACTTTATTAAATTGATAAAATAACTTTTTTTTATCATTTCTTGTTCTACTTAATTAGGGCTTAATTGCAAAAAGAATATGATTTTTCGGTTCTGCAGGTTGTGGGTTTTGTATTACAATATCTTGAACAGGTACAGAAAAATCTTTTTCCCCTTTAGTTCACCTATTTTGGGAAGAGTTTTTGGAGCACGTAGAATCGAATAGTGATACTAGAGTAGTGATACAAACAGATGCATATACAGGTGAGAGTAAGCTTGGGGGTCGCAGTATAGGATTAGTCAGTGTGCAGCACTCTTGGAGTTGGAGGTTAAGGACCTCGTTCAAGGAATCATGGACATGTGACTATTCTGTTGTGGCTTGGGTTCAAACCTTTGACCTTCTTATTTCAGGCATGAAGGCCCAGCCTGCTGAGCTGCACAGCCCACACGTATGGTTTGCATAGATGCAGTTACTGAGTGATTCTAATTTAATTGTGTGGTTTCTTCTGTAGACCACCATGCTGCAAGCTATAGAGAGGTACATGAAGCAGGCTATTGTGGACAAGGTCCCTAGTGTCTCCAGTTCAGCTCTGGTCTCCTCATTGGTGAGTCGGAGTTGTTTACGTTGACCATAGGTAGGTTGTTTGTGTGTGTGTATTCTAAGCTACCCTCTGTGTGTGTACAGCACATGGTGCGGATGAGTTATGATGTGGTCAAGCGCTGGGTGAATGAAGCACAGGAAGCTGCCTCCAGTGACAACATCATGGTTCAGGTGGGCAGAACTTCCCTTCATACCTTTTTCTAGACTGCTTTTATTATTGGTGCCCATAACTTTAGTACAGTCTACAGAAGAAAAAATGGATTTGTGTGATGCTCTTCAGTTCTCTAGCAATATCCCTCTGACCTCTAGTACCATGCCCTGGGCTTGCTGTACCACCTGCGGAAGAACGACCGCCTGGCTGTCTCCAAGATGCTTAATAAATTCACCAAGTCTGGCCTTAAGTCTCCATTTGCCTATTGCATGCTCATCCGCATTGCCAGCCGGCTGCTGGAGGAAACTGAGGGAGGGTAGGTGTCAGTCTGTGTCTTTGTACGCGTATGCACGCACTCCTCGGCTGAGCTCATCAGAACAACTCCTCTGTCATTAGGCATGACAGCCCCCTGTTCGACTTTATTGAGAGCTGTCTGAGGAACAAGCATGAGATGGTGGTCTATGAGGCTGCCTCCGCAATTGTGCACATGCCCAACTGCACAGCTCGTGAGCTGGCCCCGGCTGTGTCAGGTGAGTGAGTTAGAGAACCACCTCTGTGTGTTTATGCATGTGTGCCTTTATATCGTGTAACTCTTTATGTTCCTCACCAGTTCTCCAGCTCTTCTGCAGCTCCCCCAAAGCAGCTCTGAGATATGCTGCTGTCAGGACCCTAAACAAGGTCAGTTACATGACAGGAAGTTGGGTTAATGTTTGATTTGATGCTGATCTTTGTGAATCGATTCTACAATGTAAACCTAAAATTGAGTGGTTAGTCGTAGTGTGGCGACTTCTTTTTACGTTACCATACAGGGTTCATACGGTCATGAAAATCCAGGAAAAATCATGAAAATAAGAAATCATGGTTTCCAGACCTGGAAAAGTTATGGATGACCATGTAATGATTAATCACAAATCGGTTAAAAATCAATGTAAATGTATGAAATGTGGAAAATGAATCCCTACTTTAGGAGTACTTCAAGGTACTTTATTTAACCGAAAAACTGGTGTAATATTTCATTTAATTTCACAACATCAGCTCGATGTCAGATGTCACTGCGTATTCATGTTCACGTCGTACGTTTGTTTTTGGTTTTCACCGAACGCGAGATGGCGAGCGAATTTGAAACTGAGGACACACCCCCCGATCGTAAATCAGCAGTGTGGTGCATTTTAGCTTTCCGGTAATCACAAACAAAAACAGCTAGAAGAGCACAGACAAGACAAAACTGTGTGCAAACATTGTAAAAGACTGATGATATACACAAATAGCACAACGAACATGCTTTAGCATGTCCACTGGCACCACAGTGAGCTCAATTCACCACCGCCAGAGCAAAGATTATTAAAAGGGCAAACCACGCTAAAAAGCTGCACATGCAAGCCTTAGTTTATTTGGTAATGCTTTATATTAAGTGCACCTTCATCATGCATTCCTTATGCAATTATAGAACATTCAGTGCACCTTCATAATGCATTCATAGAACATTCAGTGCACCTTCATAATGCATTCATAGAACATTCAGTGCACCTTCATAATGCATTCATAGAACATTCATAAGCAGCATGCAAGTAGACTTTAACATCCTAACTTCCCTTAACAGCTTTAATGTACATTAATAACATTATACAATTATAATGTTTATTAATATACATTAATAACACACATTACATGATTATCCAATTATGATGTTTGTTATTAATGTATATTACAGCTGTTAAGGGGTATTAGAATGTAAAGTTTTACATATATCATGATGTTTATGAATGATTTCTGAATACTTAATGCAGCGGTGGCCAATCATATCCGCAAAGGGCCAGTGTGTGTGCAGGTTTTTGGGATAACCTTTAGGCCAGTTGTTCAAACCCAGGTGTGAGGACTCTTCAGCCAATCGGTCCTCTAATTAGTAATCTAATTAGGGAGCTGCAGCAAAAATCCACATACACAGCGGCCCATTGAATCGTAATCTGGCACATTATGAAGGTGTACTGAATGTTTTATGGATGCAATATAAAAGCATTATGAAGGTGCAGTTAATGTAAAGTGTTACCATTTATTTATTTAAAGATTTTTTTTTTTTTTTTTACTCATTTTGATATGGGATTTTTTTTAAACAGTATTTTATTCAATTTCAGTTGCACTGTTAAGAAGAAGACATGTTTTGCACAGTTTAGAAAGATAAAGGAATATTTTTGAATAAATTTGTCTGCAGCTGTTAAAATCGTGAGAAAATCGTATCGAATAGTGAGTTGAGTGTATTGTTACATCCCTAGTTATGGAAATAAAAAAAATATAAAGTTTTGCAAAAGTCATGGGATTTTTGAAAACTACGTTTTTTTTATCCACATTTGCGATATAACCCCTTCTTTCTCAAGCAGTATCCTCATTATAGTTTCCATGTCAGTGCTGGTCGTGAGGAGTATCATTTTCACAAAAGATACAAAGTCATTTCTATCTTCTAATTCCTGACAGGTGCTAACAGTTGCACTCATACACATACCCAAGGATCTTCCTTTCTGCATGTTGACATGCAAAGTACACCATGGAATTATTAATTTATGGCATGATTTTATTATTTTAGAAAGTCTGATTTCAACTTTACACATTCTACAATATGTCGGGTTATCATTGTTTTGTTCTTGTGTGACACGTATATTCTGCTTATGTCACATTAGGGTAATTATAATGGCCCGCCCAAGTAATTTTGTGTTTTAGCACTAACTTTTACATCTCAATAATTAGTGTTTTTTTTATTATTGCAAATGTAAGAAATAGAGAATAATTTATCTGGTGATAGCTAGAAAAGTCTAGTGTGGTTAATAATGCTCAGCTCATCATTATTAGGCCAGATATAAATTAAATTATGCAGATTTTTTTGATAGTGTGTGTCTATACAAGAGAGAAAAGCAACATACATATCCGTAAAATTATAGGCAATGGAAGATATATCCATATCTAAAGGATGAATGCAAGATCATAACAGGTGGTTCCTCCATACAAGGTACATGTTTGTGATGGTGTCATGCAACGATGATCACATAACTTAGACACTTTTCCTGAATGGATTGAACAAAAAAATCTTTCTTTGAATCGATTCCTGGAAATTTATCTTGAAGTCCTGGAGAAGTCATGAAAAAGTCATCGAAATTTGTTGATCGAAAAGTGTATGAACCCGGATCATACCTTGCGGATCTCACCAGGTGGCAATGAAGCACCCTTCTGCAGTGACTGCTTGTAACCTGGACCTGGAGAACCTAATCACCGATTCAAACCGCAGCATTGCCACACTGGCTATTACCACGCTGTTGAAGACGGGCAGTGAGAGCAGCGTTGACCGCCTCATGAAACAGATCTCCTCCTTTGTATCCGAGATCTCCGACGAGTTTAAGGTGACTTCTGTTTCTTGACCTCCCCCAGCTACCTCTTTTATTTCAAAAGAATGTGACCCTAAAGCACCTCTGTGGTATTCAAAGTGGATCAATATTGAAAATGCATCTTTCAGTGTAATTTACCAGGAGACATTTTCTGCTTCAATCAGATAAAGCATTAAGGCTCCTTTTTGGATTTTTGTTGTGTCTTGGAATTCAGTAACTGTTTGTGGGCACTAATGTGTTTGCTTTGCATTCACTTTGCAGGTGGTTGTGGTGCAGGCTATCAGCGCACTTTGTCAGAAATACCCCAGGAAGCACAGTGTCATGATGAACTTCCTGTCCAACATGCTGAGAGACGATGTGAGTTTATGTCTAAACAACTGGATGCATCCGATTTGAGCAGCAGCCTTGTATTAAGAATTTGTGTATGACAGGGTGGGTTCGAGTACAAACGGGCCATCGTGGACTGCATCATCAGCATCATCGAGGAAAACCCTGAGAGCAAAGAGACTGGGCTGGCGCATCTCTGCGAGTTCATTGAGGATTGTGAACACACTGTGCTGGCCACCAAGATCCTGCACCTTCTAGGTCGGGAGGGGCCCCGCACACCTTCACCCTCCAAGTACATCCGCTTCATCTTCAACCGTGTCGTGTTGGAGAGTGAGGCCGTACGTGCCGGTGAGTAGGGCTACTCCTCGTGTGGCACCTTGTGTCCAAAAAACCCAGGTCATACTGCTGATGCCATCTTGCCATTGTGTTGTGTTGCTATTCTCTGTGCCTAGATATTTGGGAAATGTGGCTAACATCACTCCATTTCCTCTCCCAGCTGCGGTCAGTGCTCTGGCAAAGTTTGGAGCCCAGAACGATGACCTACTTCCAAGCGTGTTGGTGCTCATGCAGAGGTAGATTTGATTTCTGCAGGGGCTCTCTTGTAATCCGTTTACCACAGGAACTTGCATGGAAATCATTCAGTGAAATGAACTGAAAGGGGCCCTATTATGCTTTTCTGGTTTTTTTGTATAGCTGTTTCTGCATATTAATGGTCTGCAAAGTCTTAAAGCCAAAGGGAGTAACTCTTACCACAGAAAACCACTCTTCTCTATTCTGATTGAAATACCTCCCTGTCAACAGCCTTTTCTTCCATGACGTGGTGAGGTCACCTCGTAACAAAATCCTTATTGGCCACCTACCTGCAATGATTTGCCTACAGTCAACAAGATGGGCGGAAAGCTGACCAGTTGGGCAAGCTGACCAATCAGATCACACTGGGCTCATGGGGGATGGGGCTTAAAGCTCCAACATAGCATTTCAGACAGAGGGAGGGTAGCGCTGTATGTGTTTTTGGAACATTGAAGCATGTAAATATATTTCAGAGGACTCCAAAAATAAAATGAACAGTGAAAATTAGCATAATAGGGCCCCTTTAAATGCTGAGGTAGAGCAGTCAGGGGAACACATGGGTTTGTGCTTGACACCAATCCAGGATATTACCTCCTTATTAGTCACATTTGTGTTAGTGTTGTGTTGTTATTTTTGCTAAAGTGAAATGAAGAACTTTGAATCTTTACTCACTTCTGTACATTTTGTAATTAGCATATTCAAAGTATTGATTTTCACAGGTGTATGATGGACAGTGATGATGAGGTGCGTGACAGGGCCACCTTCTACATGAATGTCTTGCAGCAAAAGCAGAAAGCACTAAATGCTGCCTATATCTTCAATGGTAAGGCCATCAAAAAATACTCTAGATTAGTGTTTCCCAACCTAGTCCTTGGGTAACCCTGGACAAGTCCACGTTTTTGCTCCCTCCCAGCCAATCAGGAACAGGTATGCTGGGAGCTGAGAGGAAGCAAAAACATGGACTGTCCGGGGTTCCCCGAGGACTGGGTTGGGAAACACTGCTCTAGATAAGTGGGGGGCGATATGGCAATAGTGTCATATCACTATATTTTTGTTTAGAATCATGATCCATGGTATAGATCATGATTTTTATTTGTTTACAAACAAACCAAATCTGAGTATGTGTATTATTTAACAACTTATCTGACCACTTAACCAGCAATACTTTCCTTTACAAGAAACACTTTGTAGTAGGGTGGACGGTACACCGGTGTCAGTTATAAAAAGCATTTTATTTTCTTCAAAGCTTCAGTGGTAATCTGAATAATCCTCCTTATATAGTACAGTGGTACCTCAGTTCTCGAACTCATTAGAACTCAAATTTCTTAAAAGTTGAACCAACCAGTTTGAAAAAAAAAATACCTAGAGCTTGATCTGAATCTCATAATTCAAACCATGAATGCCGACCTAAGAACTTGTACGCGCGGGGAAATGAGTTACGTGGTACGTCTCTCAGCCGAAACAAACAGTAACGCTTCAGTCTCAGCCTGACATTCGCTGTGATAGCTCGTGCTTGTTTACACTAACCGAATACATATATTTAGACAGTAAAAATACATTTAGGCAATGATACACTAACAGTAATTATTATATAATAAAATACATTTAAAAATAAAGATTTCTTATGCATTATTTTAATATTAATAATAAACCATTAATATGTTTAATTATAATAATATTGTTGTGCCGAGCGGGGATGGAACGGAGACAAAGGCGCAGACGTCAGGGTATCGGAGAATACGGGGTTTAATTACAGGCAAAATGCAGACGGACAATACAATGACCAGACTGCGGAAACTAACTGAAACGCGGACGAAATACAGAGGACTAATGACAACAACCAGAAACAGCTGATCACACGGGGATCCACACGGGGTTAACGAGGGGGCGTGGCACACAGGAGGAGCGGACAATCGGGGCAGGACACATTGTTTGGATACATTTATTTTCTTACTTTACAAATTACTGTTTTGATAAATGTGCTTAGATGTGTTTAGTACAGTATATGCCAGGGGTATTCAACTAAAATTCCAGTTAGAGAAAACTTCTTGAAGCAAAGGTCCAAAAGATCATAATGTCTAACTATTTAGTGTGATCTACATTTAAGTAGCCTATTAATTGTACCAACATTGCATGTAATCAGTACCTGACTGTCAAATCAAATTAATTCAGTACAATTCAAAAATGTTTTGACAATATTTATTGTCACGTGACAAAGAACTTTGGCCAGCTGGCTGGAGTGAGATTTTCAATTCGAGATGTCTGCACACACATGTAACAGTTCTTACCTTATAAATAGTCTGCTTTTGTATTTAACTGTGTAAATACACTTTTAACGTAGCTAATTTTAGGTTTTATAATGAAATAATATAGATTTGCCATAAGATTTCCAGCATGAGTCTGAAAGCGTGAGTGTCATGCCAGATGCTTGAGATTTGGCAGCCATGAAAATGTAAATTTTAATTTATATAACAGATAACATTACTTTATACATATGTTAAAAAGCAGAAACTTCAACGAACATGAAATCAACAATAAACTATGTCTATTTATCCAATATGTTATATAATACATAATGTATTTGAAAACTGTTCAGCTTTATGATTTCAGGACAGACCAGTCACTCTGTTAGGAACATTACGGCTTTTTGGTTGTGGTTTTAGCTTCGATGCTGCTACTAACACTAACGACACATTAGTGCAGACAAAGGGCTGCATACGCCGAACTACGTCTTGCTTGGCGGTCAAAGGCGTTTGACGTTCATTGGCATGGGAAATGGCGGCTCTACTGCTAAACCACTACCGAAATGACTACAAACACTGCGGCGGTTAAAATAGAAGCGTCCCGTCAGGTTTTAAATAATAACTTAATGTTTTGGCTATCGGTCTGGTCCGTATGGGACAGCTTCTGGGTCCGGACCCGGCCCGCAGTCCGCCTGTTAGTGACCTCTGGTATATGCTCTTCTTGTTTTATCCGGTTAATTTTGTGTTTAAATGCTAAAAAAAAAAACATATTTATGTGTAATTTTTTGGGGCCGGGAACCAATTAATTGGTTTTCCATTATTTCTTATGGGGAAAATTCGATCAAAACTTGAACTTGAACTTTTTAGGATTCGATCCGGAGTTCTGAATGGATTAAATTCGAGTTCTGAGGTACCACTGTATATGTAAAAAGTAATTGTAACAACTGTAAAAAGTAATGTAATTTTTTAATGCAAATCAACTCTGGTGAAACAAAAAAACACGCGTTTTCAGAGTTGCCAACTCTCATGCATCTGGCATGACACGCTATCAGACCCGCGCTCACACAAGAAATTTTATGGCAAACACATTATTCCATTATAAACCTAGAATTAGTGACAGCATTGGAGTAACTTGAAAACCCTACAGATTCCAAGGTAATAAACTGTAACATACATGTAAATGTGTGTTCATGCCATGGCAGCTGACCAAAGTTAACAACCCAGTTCATATATTATGATTTTTTTAAATTATTTACAGGGAAAATACATGTCCAAAACTTGCAAAAAAGTAATACTGTGATATATTACCGTCACTGTAATACTGTGATAGGATCTAAAATTATCACCCACCCCTACTTTGTAGTAATAATAAACTTAAGGTATGTAAAACAATGTACATATAAAAGAATGACTCATTATACCAAAAGTGCTTTTTAATTTATTTAATATTAAAGTTTCAAAAGTATAAGTACAGATGAGCATCATTTTGGTCAATAACTACATTTCTGAACTCTTTACAACAAATACAAACAATAGATAAATCTGATTGTGCTGCTATCTGTTGCAAATTACAATCAGAACATTTACGATAGGGACAGTAAATTAACCTTTATATTTAAAATGTTTAGTTGTGAGGGCAGCAACTGGGCCTTGTTGAGAATCCTTGCTGCAGATGCTACTCTTTATGACAATTTGAGTGTGGTTTTTCGTTTCTTTTTCCCTTTTCCTGATGATTGTGGGTTATTTTATCACCTTAGGTCTCAATATCTGTGTGATGGTGGGGTATTTTATGGCCTTAGGTCTCTCGGTGTCTGTACCTGGTCTTGAGAAGTCCCTTCACCAGTATACACTGGAACCATCCGAAAAGCCATTTGACATGAAAACTGTTCCTCTGGCTACCACAACAGTCTCAGAACAGAAGACCGGTATAGTCAGCCTACTCATTTACCTTTACTTAAATGTTTTACTGTTTTGTTAAAAGTGTTTTACTCATAACTAGTATGGTGTGGTTTTCAGATTTTTATGTACTTTCCCTAAAACAAGTGCATTACACTTGGCCTTGCTGTACCTAGTCTGACTTGGCATGAGGATATGTTCTCCTCTTTTAGAGTTGGCTCCCGTGGCCTCCAGCAAGCTGCCTGAGAAGCTGGCTCCTTCCCGTCAGGATATCTACCAAGGTATGATCACCTCGACTTGGCTTTTTTATTAAGCTCCCTTCCAAAATAGATACCTTGAAATGCTCTACATTTACATTTGTGAACACACAGTACACTGCAAACATTTAAAAACCACCAGACATTGGAGGAGTGTATCAGAAACCTGTTAGTGGAAGTGTAATAACACCAGTGCCATCTGATGCCCACCCTTCATGAGCATGCTAACCATAAAAGTTCAAATGTCTAAATTTCAACGGGGAAGTAGGTTCTGTTGTTCTGATCCTGGTATGATCTCTGGAGATATCAGTAAGACCTGTTAGCTATGGCTTTCTGTCACAAGGTGGGAAGGAACATGTCAAGTGTCACCAAGAGCATTATGTAGTGTGCACTACTAAGCTAAAGTAATGACTTTAGTTATGATTTAAAGACTGGGTCCCTCAGGGACGTCCTTTATATCTGTAGATGAGCTGGTTTCACAGTTTTGGGGCTGTGTAGCAAGAGGCTTTCTTAGTCACTGAACTATAGTTGCATTTATTTTTGCATGATGTGGGACTTGAATGCTAGATTTTGAATCACATAAAATAATATGTGTTTTTATCACGTCATGGCGTATCCAAGAAGCGTACCGGGACCTCATCATGCACAGACTGCCCTCAGTGGCACTTTTGGAAAGGCATTCACTTACCTTAATTTAGGCTCCAAGCAACAGCCGATCTCAGGAAGTTCCTGTGTTGCTTGGGTATTGTGACTCTGTTTGTGCCAAGAATTCTGGAAGATTTTCAACAAATCAGTGTTGAATACATTCAGTGTTACTACGAGTAAGTAAGAGTGTTCCCAGGGATCAATGGGACTTTTCCCTTGTACTTGTTCTTGGCTAAGGTCATATCCATACATGAACAGTAACAGCTTAAGAGAAGAACGTGCATGCAGCTAATCCAAACAGGCATGCAACTAATTCACCAGTAGTGCTATGATTAATCACCCAATTTGTTCAGATGTTCTTTCATGTCCTAGAAGGTCAGTTTCTAGTGCCATAATAGGCCCCTTTTCAAAGCCTATAGTTAATGAGATATGGGCATCTTGACCTCCCTTTAATTTCTGGGCTAGCAGCAGAGAACGCTCCATCCAGTTGCATATTCCAACACAGCATGCAGGGTTATCAATTGTCACTGTTCTCACAATGTTTCCTACTGCCCTTTGCAGAACAGCTGGCTGCTATTCCAGAGTTTCAGGGCCTTGGCCCTCTCTTCAAGTCCTCAGAGCCTGTGCAGCTCACAGAGGCAGAGACAGAGTATGTGGTACGATGCATAAAACATACCTTTGCCAGTCACATGGTCTTCCAGGTAAGCCTCTTGCACTCTTTATATTCTTTATGCTTCCATATCTAGTACATTAATCAGGTGGCTTGTATCAAGACAGAGTGCAAAAAGTTGTGAGTTTCAAAGCTTAAGATGCAAAGAAGAAATAAATATTGAGTTGACAGGATACTGTTGACAATGTCTTAACTTGGCTTTCAGCTGTACTTCGCTGTGTTGGTGTAATCCGTCTTCCAGTGCTCAAGCTTTTCACATTTTTTTACTGACTGTCTTTTAGTTTGACTGCACAAACACGTTAAACGACCAGCTCCTGCAGAAGGTGGTGGTACAGATGGAGCCATCCGAGGCATATGAAATTGTACAGTATGTTCCGGCAGCCAGCCTGCCTTACAGTCAGCCAGGCTCCTGCTACAGCCTTGTCCGCCTGCCAGAGGATGACCCCACAGCAGGTAGGTCCCACATACAGCTCCAGGACTTGACTTGTCTCCTGTTCCAGGTTATCTGCTGTTGACTTTCCGCTCTGTTTTCCAGTTTCCTGCACCTTTAGCTGTACTATGAAATACTTGGTGCGGGACTGTGATCCCAACACAGGCGAGCCAGATGATGACGGCTATGATGACGAATATGTGGTATGATGTTTGTTTTGTCCACGATGTTCATGAATATATGTCATTTATGCCCAGTGCTATTCCCTGGTTATATCTTAGCTTCTTTATGTAACACTCAGCTTCTGTAATATTTAACAAAGGCAGTGGATTGGATTCTGCACATTCATACTTTCAGATTTGTGATTTCCAGCATGGAGGAACCCTATTAATTTCACAGTATCACAGTCGTAATGTAGTAGTGTACACTTTCCATAGTGCACTAGCTTGCAAATGTAAATATGCATAAACATAAATACTGTAATATTTACCTATGTGAATATCTTATATGATAGAGGTTCCTTTATACTGACCCCCTCCCCCTGGTTGGCAGCTGGAAGATCTGGAGGTAACAGTAGCAGACCACATACAGAAAGTTCTCAAGCCCAATTTTGCTGCAGCATGGGAGGAGGTGGGCGACGAATTTGAGAAGGAGGAGACTTTCGCACTTGCTTCTGTCAGAACACTTGAAGGTAATACTGTGAATTCATTTAAAAAAAACTGTCTGATGGGAATAGTAATAGCACCAGATTGGCTATACACTCATTCAGTTGCTTAACCTGTTGAGGTCTCTGACTACTTCTTTGCAAACCCACAGAGGCTGTCAACAACATTGTCAGCTTCCTTGGCATGCAGCCTTGTGAGCGGTCTGACAAGGTCCCCGAGAATAAGAATTCCCACATCCTGTTCCTTGCAGGTAAGGCACTTAGGCTTTTTGTTTGGGCATCATGCAATATTGTCATTTGTGTCATGCCTTGACCTTGAAATGGGTAAGAGCAATAGGAAACACTTTGAATGGACACTTTCATGTTAGCCCATGTTAATGTTCAATTCATGTCTGGTTTGAGTCCTGAACTTGTGTATACATGTGTGTTTCCCCGCATGTGGTGGTTTTTGATAAACTCCTTGTTAAGAAAGTTGGTAGATCACTATCCGCCCTGCCCCCCCATACCTTAGAATGTAGATGTAGTTTCTAGATCATTATAACATGTCATTATGATGCTGGCATTGCACTTGAACCTGCTGTATCCTTAGTGCAGGAGCCTCTGACTGAACTGTGATGTCATTGTGTCACTGCAGGTGTGTTTCGAGGGGGTCATGATGTGTTGGTGCGCTCACGCCTGGCTCTGGCAGATGGGGTCACCATGCAGGTGACTGTGCGGAGTGGGGAGGAGACAGCGGTCGATGTCATTCTGGCGTCAGTTGGCTAGCCTACTCGGCTAGCCAAAAGCCTGCGACCTGCAGGCTTGTGTAAGGAAATTTAAAATATGTGTAATCTGTTTCCTACCTTTGACCTACATGTTAAATCAGTAAAGGCTGTGCAGCTTAGTTGACAAATAGCTTCCATGTATTCAGTTTCCTAACAAATTTGCTTTTTTCTTATTGTTTAATTAAAATGGTGCATCATGGGGACCTATGTGTATTTTCTTCTATTTTATACCCATTCCTAGACATTTCTCAGTTGGTGGGATTTCCTTGCAGCTAGGTTTTTTTTTTTTTTCTTGTCCTTTACCTATATTTCATTTGTTAACCCTCTGGGAACTTGGGGTAGGGAACACACTGACTGGGGCATGATCACACATTTTTTTCAATATTATAGACTTAATTCATGGCAAACAAATTTTCTTATGTATTTGTTTTGGCATTACACTCATCTTAATTTTAATAAATCTGACATATTTACAATATATACACTCACCAAAAGGATTATTAGGAACACCATACTAATACGGTGTTTGACCCCCTTTCACCTTCAGAACCGCCTTAATTCTACGTGGCATTGATTCAACAAGGTGCTGAAAGCATTCTTTAGAAATGTTGACCCCTATTGATAGGATAGCATCTTGCAGTTGATGGAGATTTGTGGGATGCACATCCAGGGCACGAAGCTCCCGTTCCACCACATCCCAAAGATGCTCTATTGGGTTGAGATCTGGTGACTGTGGGGGCCATTTTAGTACAGTGAACTCATTGTCATGTTCAAGAAACCAATTTGAAATGATTCGAGCTTTGTGACATGGTGCATTATCCTGCTGGAAGTAGCCATCAGAGGATGGGTACATGGTGGTCATAAAGGGATGGACATGGTCAGAAACAATGCTCAGGTAGGCCGTGGCATTTAAACGATGCCCAATTGGCACTAAGGGGCCTAAAGTGTGCCAAGAAAACATCCCCCACACCATTACACCACCACCACCACCAGCCTGCACAGTGGTAACAAGGCATGATGGATCCATGTTCTCATTCTGTTTACGCCAAATTCTGATACCATTTGAATGTCTCAACAGAAATCGAGACTCATCAGACCAGGCAACATTTTTCCAGTCTTCAACTGTCCAATTTTGGTGAGCTCGTGCAAATTGTAGCCTCTTTTTCCTATTTGTAGTGGAGATGAGTGGTACCCGGTGGGGTCTTCTGCTGTTGTAGCCCATCCGCCTCAAGGTTGTGCGTGTTGTGGCTTCACAAATGCTTTGCTGCATACCTCGGTTGTAACGAGTGGTTATTTCAGTCAAAGTTGCTCTTCTATCAGCTTGAATCAGTCGGCCCATTCTCCTCTGACCTCTAGCATCAACAAGGCATTTTTACCCACAGGACTGCCGCATACTGGATGTTTTTCCCTTTGCACACCATTCTTTGTAAACCCTAGATATGGTTGTGCGTGAAAATCCCAGTAACTGAGCAGATTGTGAAATACTCAGACCGGCCCGCACCAACAACCATGCCACGCTCAAAATTGCTTAAATCACCTTTCTTTCCCATTCTGACATTCAGTTTGGAGTTCAGGAGATTGTCTTGACCAGGACCACACCCCTAAATGCATTGAAGCAACTGCCATGTGATTGGTTGATTAGATAATTGCATTAATGAGAAATTGAACAGGTGTTCCTAATAATCCTTTAGGTGAGTGTATGTTAAGCTTGTAATCTGACATCAAAGTATAGACATTGCAAAACGCAGTTTGGAGCACTTGCAAAAACATTATGAAAGTGCATAGTAAGCAATGGTGCCAGTTTGTTTTGATCCAAGATATCTGATAACCAAAGTCTTGGGTACACGAAGATGACTAAATGGTGTAGTTGCAACATTCAGTTGGATAAATAAATAAGAAAAACCTAACTCATGTCACTACGAGAAAGATCTCGATGTGTATGTTGATGCTTTCATGTCCCATTCTTGCCAGTGTAGGGAAGCAATAAAAAAGGGACAACATTTCAAAACAAATTTGAGGACGCACTTCTTTACACAGCGTGTAGTTAGAGTATGGAATAGTCTTCCTACTAGTGTAGTGCAAGCTAAAACCCTGGGTTCCTTTAAATCAGAGATAAGATTTTAACAACTGAGCTATTAAGTTCTCCCCAAACAAGCTTAATGGGCCGAATGGCCTCCTCTCGTTTGTAAATTTCTTATGTTCTTATTATGCACTATTTCTGGCCTCCTCCCATTGAATATGTAGGAGCTTTCACACCTGGCCACACCCCCCCCCCCCCCCTTTTTATGGTGCTGATGGGGATGTATCTGGATTGCGTTTCACTGTTGCGTTTTTCATCAAATTACCATGTGAATGCGATTTGAATATGTGGTAATGCGGCTGTTTAGAATGCGAATCCCAATCTTCAATGTGAGGACAGTACTACATGTCCCCCGATACAGGTAAAACAAAGAAAGGTTACTTTTTTTGCCAATTTAACCTAATTTTAAAAACTTTAATACTTCCGACAATGGACATTTTGAAAAGACGTCAGATTACGGATTTAGTTGGCTAAATCATGATTCTATATAAAGATTTAAGCGAGATATAAACTGAAATAGACGTGAAAAATACGCTGCAACCCCGGACGGTTAAAAATAAATGTGTAGAAGAGAGTACAATTTTTCCTTTTTGGAGGCCTTGGAAATGTTATCTTGGAATGGACAATTTCAGAAAGAGCCACAAATACAACCAGAGTGAGTACTTAAAAAATATGTACAGTGGTACCTTGGTTTGTGAGCATAATTCGTTCCGGAAACATGCTTGTAATCCAAAGCACTCATATACCAAAGCAAATTTTCCCATAAGAAATAATGGAAACTCAGATAATTTGTGCCACAACCCAAAAATTTTCATGTAAAATGATTAATACAAAATCTAAAGTAAAAATACATCAAACAAATTAACCTGCACTCTACCTTTGAAAAGAATCGTGGATGGTGTGAGGGAGATGAGAGAGAGAGAAGAGGCGGGTTATTTTGTAGGACGACTTTCACTATAACTAACAGAATCACTACTATCTATTGGCTCACTAGAATCTTTTTCTTTTTGTGCACCTTTAATAAGGAACCTATCCAATGACAGCTGCTTTTGTCTCCTTTTCGATTGCGGAAATGTGACATTGCAATATCATTAAACAGATTCATCGCACACACTACTGCGGCCTTATTCAGATGGCGCTTTTCTACAAAATTTTGAATATACGAGTGAGGCATGCCAATTAAGACCGAGCATGGGAAACGATTACTAGTGTTGTAGTCAAGACCGCCTAAACCGAGACCAAGACATTGCCGAGACCGGAGGGTATCAAGACCAAGACACTGCCGAGACTTGAGGGTACCAAGACCAAGTCCAAGACCAAGACCGAAAACAGACTAGGGCTAGAATCGACATCACATTACCCAGATCAACTGTAGAGAAAAAAGGCATT